ACCAAAATAAACATAAAGATGGCTGTGCTTGTGTGATGGACTCTGATTTATTACGTGTAGCGTCACCAAGGTTCCAAATTAACTGTTTGACTCACCGACCAAAGTGGCTGGTAGAAAAATCCACTGGCCAAACATATTTTTTACTTGCCAAAATAATAGGCTAATATCAATCAGCAGCTTAAGGATTTATTAAACTCATTGTTGAATTAAAATTTAAAAGTCACAATAAAGCTCAGCAAGTTTTGATTGCAACATTCAGGGACAAAGTAAAGTAAATTTGTAAACCCATTGGCTGCTTAGTCATTTGAACCAGCTCAAAGCTCCTCCTGAGACACCTCACTCTCACTGCAGTGACCCACTTCATTGCACAGTAGACCAGACTCTGTCAGAGTGTGGCGTGTGATCACGCACGTGTCCGTTTTCTGAAGGGACCTGTCACTACTCTACCTCATAATGACCGTGGTTATGATCCAATGACTGGTTAGACAGACGATAAGTGCCTACACCAAAAACGTTTCAGCCCTGTTTTTGAGACGTGTAACTGGTACGCTCCTGTTTTATTCAATTTAGCTGACTACCAATTTTCCAGCTCATGTGTGTGTGTGTGTGTGTGTGTGTGTGTGTGTGTGTGTGTAACCATGACCTAAAGCACATTTTTACGCTTGTCTCAGAAAGCCAGTCAGAGGCAGAGTAAGGGCGGGTCGTCACAGAATACGGGTGTGTATGTGTCTCAAACTATGACACAGACAGAAGCAGGGTGCACATTCTCAGGATAATGTTTTATCACAAGGCTGTTTTGCTATAAACATTTACCCGCCAGTGTAGTGGGTAGTGTTCTGAGATTTGCTCGCTAAATGGAAGGGATTGGTTTTGGGTCACTTTAAGAAGCTTTCCTACCAGGTGGGCCTAAAATGGCTCTGTAGGGTTCGATGGTACCTTTCTTAAGGTGTGTTTAGATCTGGTTTTTGTCTGGTGAAATTGCCTCAGTGGTGTAACAAGACCCAGGCATGACAGGTAGTGATGGTGTGCGTAGGGCTGTAAGCACAAACTGCTAGCAGGCTAACAACAGCAGTCTGCAAAGTTCTGAAACTTTCTGCTCACACGATTTTGGATTACAAGTAACATCCAGCCTTCTCCCGTCTGGTTGCATTACTTGGCTATGAGGTTGTAAAAGGAGGATGCAAATAATCAGTTTTTCCTGAATGTGAGATTAATCCCACCCCCCTCACACACTGACTGGATATTGGAGACTGTCAGGATGTTGTGTAGCTAAATTCAGTCAGATTCACTCTGCTTGAAACTAAATAAACAGGGCATTTAACAGCTGGTGGTGAATACATCTCACCCCTGCTCCTTATAGAAATGAATGCAGGTTGAAATCCATTGTGGCCATATTTTAAAGGCCCTATTATAATAGCTAGGTCTCACAGAATCCCCAAGACTCCACATAGTTAAGGATGTGGATGCAAAGGCCTCTCGCTACACGAATCTGCACTGGGCGTGGAAAATAGTGAATCATTTTCACTTCCCCAAAACTAATGATGTAGCAGAGCCATGATTTGCCTGAGGATGAAGGCTGAGGGCCAGGATGTAACTCTGTATGATGACTGCACCTTTGATATCACACATCAATATTTAACGGCATGACTGAGTGAAATTCCACAAATATACAGCGGGTGTGTGGTGAGAAGTACAACATGTACACCTATTACTGCTGGATCCATTTGTGTTTGTTCAGCTTGCTCTTGTGTTTGTGGATCAGGTGACTTGTTAGTATAGAGATGAGGCTGAAACTAGGAGAGGAAAAAAAAAACATGTAGAAAACTGTGTGGTACAGCGGAGAACAGGCATGGCCCCGAGCTGCAGCATCTCTTCCTCGCCTCCTTGTAGAGCACCTGAGTATTGTCTTGTGGTAATTAGACCAGGAAGTCAAAGCATATACCGTCCTCCATTGACTCTTGCAATGGCCCCTTCTGCCTTGTTAGCCTGGATAGAGAGGCATCCAAGGTTGTCTCTATCTTAGAGCAAGGTGCATCACACAAATAGACACCCACATAGAGCACAACATATCCATTTGTGCAAATAGGCATGCCTGTATCTTTGTCTTTGGTTGTCTGACTCAGTGCCCACCACCACCACCAGCTCATCATCACTACATGAGCCATAGCAACAGACAGCTGCTTCGTTGTAACTTAGCAGCCGGGGTTTCTGATCATTTTTCAGTACGTGTTTGCATTAATGCGGTGAGAATGTGTGGCTCAGTGTGCATAGAAAATGAGGAGCAGCAGTCCTGTTGGAGTCCTTTTAATGAATACCTCACTTTGTGTAAAGTACACACATCTGAGACGGGTGTTGCTGAAGAAATCTGTAATTCACCGCTGCATCTAATCTATGCATGTGTTATTTTTTTTAAGTGACAGAGCTTTGGTTTCAAGGTGCCTTAAAAACATCTTGTGAGTAAAATGAAACTACAAACTACAGGCATCCGTTTCACTTGCACCCTTAACAGGTTTCTGTTATAATTTGGCATTTGCTTGACCTCTAGACAAACTCTTGATCATCAAACAAAAGGTCAGCAGTTGTTTGACACTCAAATCGAGACATGTTGTCAGTGAAAACACAAACATATAAATCCAGTTGTGCTAACTCTTGCACCCATATGTACAGTTCCCCAGAACAATTTACATGGTGCATATTTCTGTATTGACTTTTCTATGGACATTAGATTTTTGGAGTGTGCTGATTATGTGTTTTTGTTTCAGATAACCCCTTAACATGATCAACATGTACAAGTATCATTGCATGAAAACATCACTGTCTGTAATTGGAATTCGCTCCTTCAGCTTGAGTTACAGTGGTATTTAGTCAGGAAAACAAAAACAGTGTGATGACAATCAGCATCCGAAAATAAATGTGAAAGTCTGACATCAGTAATTTGAGGATAGGTCTTCTGTCGCTCTCGTCTTTTGTGACTGCATATCAGATGACAAAGGCAAATCACACAGAGCAGTAAATACTCTAGTAGTCTGACATTGCACTGAAAGAGTATTAATGAGGAAGGTGTGTGTGTGTGTGTGTGTGTGAGAGAGAGAGAAAATATCCAAACAATGTTTTGTACTTTTAAATGTGAATGGAGAAATTGTTGCTGTTTGTGTGTACGTGTTTTGATGATTGCGGGAACAAAATTTTTGATTATCATTGTTGTGAGGGCATTTTAGCCAGAACTCAAAGGGCTGTTTAAGGATTGAGACTGGTTTTAGGGTTTAGGTTAGGGTAAGGGGCTAGGGGATGCTTTATGTCAGTGGGTGACCTCCTCACAACTAGAGATACAAGCATGCATGGGTGGTGTGTGTGTGTGTGTGTGTGTGTGTGTGTGTGTGTGTGTGTGTGTGTGTGTGTGTGTGCACACCTTTGTGTGGTCTGTAATCCTGACAGTAGAGACATGAGGAGCAGACAAGCTGCTGCTGAACAGACTACGAGGGAACATGGTGACCCATCGATCGCACACTCAGTCACTCAGTGGCGCTTCCTCTCCCAGAATTCAGTGGAGTAGGGTTACAGTGAGAGAAAGCAGAGATACTGCCAAGGAGTGTGTGTGTGTGGTTGTGTGGACACATTTTATTTCAGTACCATCGTTGTGAGGACATTTTGGCCAGTCTTCACACCTGCAAAGAGCCATTAAGACTTGGTTTTAAGATACAGATTAGAACCAGATACTTCAGAGCTTCTTGACAGGTTCTCATAATTGTCATCACTCTGACTTGGAGTCCTGCTGACTTTGCATTCACACCACTGTTGTAGAGATGTGAGAAATACAGCATCAGCAAAGCTGTTTACGTAGACAACAACCAAGCTTCACACATGAAATCAAAAAGCTTATTTGGAAAGCTTCAGGAGGATTGTGCTGTTGTTGTTATGAGCAAAATGAACATCATCTATAGTCAGAATGAATAGCCACAATTATGAAATAAGAGCTTGACAAGGCTTTACAGAGACTACACTAACATTAAAGTCACAAAAACCATGTACCTCAGTACATTTTAGGCTTGGACCCATGGCTCAGGGTCTTTCTGACTCATTGATGGCGAAGCATCACTGTGATGTGAAACGCTGCCTCATCGCACGGTTTTAATTTCAAGTAGGCCAAGAAAACTAGGCCAAATGTATTCCTGATGAGATTCATCTGGCTGCTGTCTGTCTCCTAGCAATAACATAGATAAACGCAGAGACAAGTGGGATCGCTGTGCTGATAATTGAAGGTTTGAACGCCGACTTGGGATCATGCCCATGTAGGACATCAAGTTAGCTTTTGGTACAGCTCTGAAAAGGACTTGTGTGAAGTTTTGTTCTGGATCTTGGAAGCAGCAGTTTTTTTTTAATTAGCAGTAGTCTGAAATCTGAACTCATGGTATATTTCCAAGCATTTTCCAAAACTTTCCGCCACATCTCATCATCTTTATCAGCAATACAGTGAGAGAAGGTTCTGCTTTGGCATCTGGATGCATTATTCCAACTGGCCTTCCCATCTCACTGGAACCTGAGCTTGTGCCACTTTAATTGAACAGCTTCTGTTTTCTGCCTTCTGTCCGTCTTTGGGCGTTCAGTCCAGTATCCATGTTGATTAAACAAAATGTTTTGCTGACACCTTCGGTGTTGATCACACTGCTGGATTCTCTAATTAGAGGCTCGTGCGGTTCAGTGAAACGGGCCTTCCTGGTTGAGCGACACTTTAGGTGCTCTCAGGGATTGATGAGGCTCTGCTGACTGTGCACGTTGCAGTCTTCGTGGCTGTGTGTGGGCACAGGACGAGGGTGTGACAAATCAGATTGGTTATGTTGTCATGGTCCAAGTGTGAATGGTTCATCACTGGGTAATTGATGTGCAGAGTTCTTCTCTCCTGTGAGCGTTGTCATAAGAACATGATGATCTGTTGGGCTAAGATATCCTATTAAAGGTGAAGTCGTGCAGCCATTTTCTAAAATTTGTTCTTTGTTTTACAGCTGAAACTTGAAGATCGGTCTATTGTCATCAGAGACATTGTGCGACGGAACAATTCAAATGTAAGTGGAGTCAGCATCTTTTCCTTTGTCCGACTCTCTCCCTTTTCACTTCACTTCTATTCTGTTTTGTTACTCCCAGTGTTTCTCCGTTAAGTGTCTTATTGTCTTCACTGCTCTGATCCATTTGTTGCATCAGACATGGCTGGAATCTTGTTGCAGGATGACACTTAAAAAGGACTTAGAGGAGACTTGTAACGCAGTGCAGGAAACTCAGTCTGATTATAAATACAGCATTAAACTGTGACGAATTTTGTTTGGTTGATGTTTTGATGTTGTCGTTTCCACAAACCAGTGACGCCGCTGGTTTGCAAACAATACCTGACAAGTTTGCGTTGACAAACAAGGAGCTGTAATGTCGAAAATGTGATGCTGGATGTGCTGAAGCTGTTTCTGTTGCATTGCAGGACAGCCAGTGTGGTATTGTGACCAACATTGACATCGAGTGTGCAGTGAAACTAGTGGGAACAAACTGTGTTCTGTATCCAGTTAACAGCAAAGACCTACAGCACATCTGGGTAAGAGAGCAACATTTTGCTTTGCGGCTCGAGTGTGTTTCTTCTTCTGTTTGCGTAATCACACATTCATGTACATTATGATTAATCTGATGGTATAGATCATTTTGTCAGTACCAGGTGATTACTTCAGATGTTGTTGACATTAGGGTTGAAACATGATGGTGTTAATGGTAAACCGCTGTAATTTTGAGTAAACGATATAATTCTCTCATATTGGTTAGTGATTAAGTAATGTCTAGCTCTCACTTTTGTCCTGCCTGTAGAAAGTGACACTGACCAGAAAGCTTATCTCAGTTAATACTTTGCCTTGTTGTCATTGTCTTCTTCAGTCTTTTATGTACGGAGACTACATTGCCTATGACTTCTGGCTGGGGAAGGTGTACGACCTGACTAATCACATCATCCTCAAGCTCTCCAACGGAGCCAGGTAGACCGTTGTGTTTACAGTGTGTGATTACAGTGTGTGATTACACTTATTCTTCTTGACCATATAATAGTCTGTCAAAGCATTGATCAGTACCTAATCCAGTGAATGTCAACCAGTCGTCCCTCTCTCTGCGTCCCTGCAGGTGCTCCATGAGTGTGGAGGACGGTGCAAAGCTTTACGACGTATGTCCACACGTTAGTGATTCGGTATGTAGCCACGACCCCTTTCCTGTCACTTTTTCTTATTCTTTTTTTATAATTTTATTTATTTTCTTCTGTGTCAGATTGAACAGCTGCCAGTCGAGACTGAGATCACTTTAGAGCAGCCTTCTCCAACCTTTTTTACTCAGAAAGCCACTTTGAACAAATGGAAGTGGCTGAGAGCTACTCATGTTTTATGTTACGCTGCTAGTTACGTTTGCTCACATATTGTATCAAAACTTTAAAAACGAATCTCTAAACCAAACCAGTTGAATTGTTTTGCGTAACCAGATGTCAAATATTAATATCCAACATATTTTATACCTCAAACATAACATCAGTCATCACATCATATTGCACCTCCTTTCACATATCAAAACCTTATTTTATAAATTGCATCTACCTCCCTAATGCATATTAAAGAGGTTTTAGGTTTTACAGTTTCATACAGTTCTGTACTGTCATGCTGAATAACTGCACTGCGCCGGTCTAAGACCAAAAGCTTCTGAAGCAAAATAATCAATCTTGGCTAATTCTTGGCCACTGAAAACAAAATGTCTAACATTGTTGTGAAATCTAGCAATGTGTGAACTGTTGTATGTGTTGAATGTAAAGAATTTTACCCAACAGTTGTCAACAAACTATAGGTTTTCGGTTATTTGTCCTATAGCGTTGTTACCGTGTTGTTTTTCAGGGTCTGTTCTTCGATGAGGCGTATGGTTTCTACCCAGGCCAGGTCCTGATTGGTCCGGCCAAAGTCTTTTCTAATGTACAGTGGCTCTCGGGGG